ATAACTCCGGACAGACGGACCGACGGACAGAGACCGAATTATAAGTCCCCGTATGGACAGAAATGTAGACTAATATAAGTTACATGGTCAAGGTAGATAGAAATAATTCATGGCAGCAATTCATATAGACCTGCATGATGTCCAGTAAACAGGAATATTGCGTTGCCTCATGCATGTACACATGACATAGAAATTACTGTAAACAGCTTCCAGTTTTTAAAAGACGTTTTAAAAATTTGTGAAATCACAACATTATGTGGCAGTGAAAATTTCATTGTTACTGTTTTTAAAACAGGTACTCACTGTAGTTTTAGTGAAATTTAAAAATACTATAATTCTAATATCAAACTGAACAAAATCTAACAAATACCTTGATGTCCTTTCATTCCAGCTTGTAAAATAATAATGGTATAACTGGGCCCTAATATATCTTGGAGGCTGGTCTGGATATGGGTTCTTCTCAATCAATGCAATGACTAAAATTAAATGAGAATACACAATTATTACAGAGCAGTACTGTTATTCGTTTTAATTTATTGAGAGACAGATTTTTGAGAGTTGGTAAAAATAGTGAAATTTTGAAGCACTGAACATTCAACATGGATTGAGTGTCAGAAAATTTTGAGAAATTTTGTATTCACAAACGAATAATGAAAAATTATGAGTTCTTGATGCATATATATAATTTTTCAATAACCATATTATTACCTTAGTATAACGCAGAAGAATTTGTTCAAAGTTTGGTGGGTAAATGTTCACTTTGTACTGAGTACACATTTTTGTTTATATACTGTACTCAACTGACTAAAGCATCTATTTTGCACCCTTTTTGGGGGATTTCTATGTTTGGGTTAAGTTTAAACTTACACACAGTCCCTTTTTTTAATTGTTGGTGTTTTTTTTCAATAAAATTAAATTTTTTGGGAGTGTATAAATGGCAAATGATTCTGCATTTTACATTATTCTTTGAGATCGTTTTATGATGGCATTGCAACACAGCATCGAAGGTGCACTAAGAAAATACTAGACTATAATTGTCACAATACCAATGAGAGGTCATCGATGCATACACTTCTGGTTGCAATATTTGAGTGAGTGTTTTGTGAGTTTATCAAGTCACCGACTACCAACCCAATTTCGTGTCAGGCAAGCACTGGCTAGCTTTGAACAGTGTTCATACAATGCAAATGCATTCCTTAGTCTTCTGTGATGCTCATTTTTGTTGGCGTGCTAGCAATTGCTTGCACACCATTCACAGCCATCTTAAAAGAAAGATAAACTTATATATATTCATGCTCCACCCACCAAATCCTGTAATATGTAAATTACCTCAATTTGTGACATCATTAAAATTCCCCTTAATACTATTTCATGGTAACCTGGCTTTCGCAATTCATACACTCCCATATTCTATTTATTTATCGAAAAAACACCAACAAATAAACAAGAGACTGTAAGCAAATTTAAGTTAAGTTCAACTTAGTACCCATTCCTGAAATGCTCCAAATTTGACAATGATATGTCAAAGTCTTTGAAAATCATTTTATTTCTCTGAATAATAAAAATACAGCATTTATTGTGATCATGATTTTTTTTAATTTGTTCATCAAAACTACAGTAATTCCAACAGATTGTACTTTCACAAAAATAAAATACTTTTGCATTATGTTAAAAAACTAAGATTCTGAAGAGAACATTTGCCAACAACAATAATGAAAAAGATATTCAACTTTGACTTTTCCTACAGACCCTAATAATTTTTACATCATAAACTCTTTTAGTACATAAATAATATTCTAGTAAAACATGTACATTTTTTGTGAAAAATGTGTTTGTAAAAGAAATTCATGATGACACAATTTGTATAATTTTTTCCCTAGCATTGTTACGTTCTTATTTATCGAGAGGCCTATCGTGAAGAGAGCCCATAGACCCAAGGAAGGTAATCAGACTATACATGTATTTCCTCTAAAGTTACATAATATTCCCATTGACCGAGGTACAAATTTAGAAATGGTTATCAACTCACCATCAGGTTCATTTTTAAGTAATCTGTATACCATATGTATAAACCATGGGTTATGACGAAAATCTCCCAAAGCTGCAAACCACATCTGCCAGTCAAGGCGTGGTTGATGAGGAGCTGAAAAAATAATAATGAAGATGCTGTATTTTAAATAATCAATAAATCACATCGCTAAATAGTAGTAGTATTTTTTATTGTAATCATATCCCGGTTTGAACATTGATATCGACATTAATATAATTTATATATTGATGCTAATTTTTACCATGTATCACAGTATTTAGATGTAATTTTTTTAATATCTGAAAAAATAATTGTTGTTGGCATCAATGAAGTGAAAACAAATTTCCAATTATTCTACTGAATAAAATATTGGAAAGCAGATTTCCAATTATTCTACTAAATAACAATTAGAGACACACATTCCTTTCTTTTACCATTCCGATACTGTATTTATTACACAGGTAATGATAATTAAAATAAATTAAAAAAATAATTAAATCTCATTAAAAAGACACATTAAACTGCAATTAAAATCCATATTTGAGTTTACATTATAGCAATGGATTTAAATCTACATAAAAGTAGTTTCCAATTCAAAGTCATCATAATTAGTTAACCATCTCTACCAAATACTCACCAACTATAGGTGGCGCTATACTCACATTCCCTGGTTTATACATAAAGTCATATTCCTATAAAAAACAGAGAGTTATTATCACAATGCTTCCAGTCTATCAGCTATACTGCTGTATTTTTATGACTTTATTTCAATATTCTGTCTCTAGAATGCACATCTCACTACCAGCATAGATATGTACTAGGCATTTATGTGCTCCTATACTTTTCAGTTATTTTGCAATGTTCCTTGATTTGAAATATTCTATAGAATGTTTCAAGTTGTCCTACTCAAGTC